ACAACAACCAAAAAACCCACCAAAACCCAAAGGTGCTGTATATGGACAACAAATCTTTGATTCTTCTAGCCTCAGGTGGAATAACTCTGGTGACTGGGAATTAACTAATTTGGAAAGATTCCTCGAAGCACAGGCCCTGCTGCTTCAGGAGAAACTGTCCCAAGAGCCACTCAGACCGGGGATAAGGCAGCTCTTAACTCCCACCCACGTTCCTAGAGCACTTCTCACCAACAGGCACTGTGCAAACAGAGCAGATCATCCAAAATCCCAGAGGTTTAGACCCCAACAGTGCTCTGATACTGGAACAAAAAATAAATGGGAGATTGACAACAGGCCTCATTAATAAAGGCAATGTCTTAGTCAAGTTCGATCTAAGAAAGCAAATTAAGTGTCAGCTTCATGTCTTACATGACTGAGAGACAAAGAAAAAAGCTTTCACTGCACCTCTGAGGAGCAGCAGGTTGTAACTGGCTTGCTCAGCAGCACTAAGGGAGGTACCCCACTCAGAGAAGTTTCGTGGCAGGCTCATCAATACAGCACTACAGCACTTTCCATAAACAGACAAAAAAGTATTTGTCATATAACTCATTCTCTACTGGGAAAAAATAAAAATATTTAAAATACTTGCATGTAAACATTAGTGAGGAAGCACAATACTTGTAAATTTCTCCAGGGCTCTATTTTTCATATTCCTGTATGTTAGAAAAAAGGTCAGAACTAAATCATATTACCCAGAGTCTCACTCTATTCTTACTCTCATTTATATTTTTATTATACATACTAACTATTTCTGCCACACATATTAAGACATTTTCTATGCTCAAGATTATCACTAATGCAGAAATTTACATCAATCTCAAATTTTACTGTCTTCCATAGTCATTATGAGTCAAATTACTACTGTCCACAGTTTACTAAATAAGGTCAAAATGTTAAGTTCCTCACTCTCCACCATGCATGTATTTCAATACACATCTTGAGCAATGTTTGCTCTGACCAAAAACAGTTGACAAATTTGAAATGCTTTGCCCTGTTAGCTGAAGGGCTGACTAAGATGATCTTTCTCCTGTTGTTCTCCTGTCTCTGCTCCTTAGACCTCACTTCCCCTCAGTAATTATTAAAAGAAAACAGCAATATCTGTAAGTATAGCTCAAACAGCAATATCTGTAAGTACAGCACTACAGCCAATAGAGGCGCTCAAACTGCTGCCCTGCCCTCCTTCCAGCGGTTATAAGAAGTGTTCTCAGCCCCTTGCAGGGCAATGCAGCAGTTTTCTGAACCAGACATTTCTGACTCACCTCAGAACTCCTCTCAAGGCTCCAAGTAAAACAGCTGGAAACAATGCCTGCCACCTTCTCCCTGATACAACACTGTAAAATTTGCACACAATAATATATATCTGCATGATAAATACTTTATTACAAAGACAGAAATCAGTCATAAATGGTATTCAGGAAAGAGACTGATGCAGAAAATTCAGAAGTCTGCTAAAACTGCTACTCAAAGAAGTGTAATTGAAATGGCCCCAGTTCAGAATGAACACTTAACAAAAAGGAGCCACTTCAAGTCCAGGGTTTCAGATTGTCAGAATAACATAGAATGCTAACAAAAAGCAAAAATACAACAACTTTGTATCAAAATTATAGAAAATATATCTAATCATGCTTAAAATACTGTACTTTCCAATAATATATCCAATCTTTTACCAATTTTGTAAGTGTTCCAAGTGAAGCAGAAAAATGTCTAGGTAACACACACTGAAGAGAAATAAGATTCCTTCTGATGTCCTCAAAGGCATCAAAGTTCCTTTTTTATACTTTTTTAATTAAGAACTTTGCATTGTTCCTTGAATTAGTTGTCGAATCTTCTCAGCATCCTTTTCTATAATTTTATTTTTAGGATCAATCTTGAGAGCTGCTTCATAATCCTGGAGGCCTAATATAGACACATTAATAAGAATATCAATCAATAATGCAAAAGCATCCTCTTTAGCAACTAACTGGAAATAACTACTCCCCAGTCATATACATAAAGTATTGATCCTGAGGTTTGTCCTTAAGTAAGATGGGATCAGAATGACATTAGTTCAGCTTCTATCAGTAAATAAACATATTTTGTTTATCTTATTTTAAAAAACATTGTAGTGGAAACACTCTACCACATAAATATTTTCAAGTTTTGAAAAATGAAAATAGAGCCTCTTCATTCATGTACATACACACCTATATATGTGTGTGTGCATGAAGGGACTCTTCTAAAGTGTTCTGCAAAAGAGAGGAAATAATCCAGTGTGAAAATATGAACAAAAAAGACATGAACTGTGAAAATCAGAGCTTGTGGGGAAAAAAGCAAATCTTGAGTATAGAAAGTAAAATCTTGCCTACATTAGTCTTTTTTATAAGGTTTCAAAGTGCAAATGAAACCAAGCGAGGCCTGCAGAAAAAGGTAAAAAATGGCCAAAGCTTAGTACTTCAACACTGACATTTTTAATATTTTTCCATTTCTATTATCAGCTTTCACTTGTAAATATGCTTTGCAAAACTGATTTGATACTCTTGAGGAACTGAATAGGGAATTCAGTTATTTTCACACAAATCAAACGACTTGATGAATCATTTCACTCATTAATATGGGGTTCCTACCTCATTTTACAAAGATGTTACTAAGCACTTCACAAGTATTTTAGAAATATTTCAGGTTATTTTAATATCTTCAGTGGAAAAACCCCTTAAATTAGGAATGCAATCCATTCACTCAAACTTGGAAAAATTTTTCAAGTACCCAGTACATTTACAAAAAAATAAAAAATGTGGTATAAATATTCCTAACAAAAAGACATAGATTGCATAAACCTCCTTCAAAGTCACTCCTGAAAACATAAAGGTGGAAGCAGCCTCACTGAGCTAAACAGAATTACTTGCATGTCACTATAAATTCCTGTGCATGTTTCCATAAAAGCAAGGCCTCACCTTCCGTGTACAATTCCAGCTGACAAAACGCTGTTCCACGTCGCACGTGGGCTTTCACTCGAGCGCTCTCATTATCAGGAACAGGTGGTGTCAACAGTTCCAGAGCCTTCACAAATGACAACACCCACAGTATTTAGAAGTAGGTTTTCCATAATTTGTTTTTTTTTTTAAATTTATGAACACTTCTCTCACCTAATTACTATTATTATACAGTAACATAACAACTATTCAAACAGTAATAGAAAATAGCTATTCGAATTTAATATAAATGGTTTGTGACTCTAGTCATTAAGATTTGCATCCATCACCCCCAGTTTGCCAACTATAGTTACATTACCATGGCTAAAAACTGACAAATGCCATGTTAAATGTTTATTGCAGTTAAATAATGTGTTCTGTTTCCATACATGGTATAGCCTATCATGCTATCAAAAGAAAAAGAAAAAAGTAGCACTATAAAAGAACATGTGTTTTAGTAGCAGTTAGTTTTTAGGAAAAAAAAACAGGAAAAAAACCCCAAGTTTCAAGACTTTGTACTTATTAGTTCAAAAAAATAATAATTCTTGGAAAATTTTCCCACATCATTCAGGTGCCATTTGAGATCATTCCTCTTGTGGCACAAATAACAGCTGCTAAAACATCAGGACAATACAGCCCTTCTTTGAAAATGTTTGGTTTGTTAGAAGTTTTTTAAGATATCTTGCTCATCACCACCATTTTTTTTTCTTTCCAACCAAATGAAGCACATCACAACACAATAGAAAATGTATGAGTTTACTTTGGTTTTGTTTGTCTCTGCTCCAAGTCATGGGCTTTTTCAAGTGCACATATTGCTACAATATTTTTATCTGTAATGAAACATACTGGCCAATATATGGCCATTTGTCACAGATGTGTGGAAGCCTGGTTTAGGGTTTTATTGTTGTTTTGTTTTAAATTTCTGAAAGTTCATTCATCACTATCAAATTTTAATATTTCACCATGGCTTTATTATATCAATTTTTAATTCTAAAACTTTGAATTGCACTAACATGTATTTACAGATCTGCTTAAAACAGAACCAGCACAGTAACAAATCACATTAATGCAAGAGAGCCTGAGCTCCTGGATTTTTATACCTTGGAGGAATCTTCAATAGCTTTGTGCAAATTTCTCAGTTTCAGGTGGCAAGCAGCACGGTTCAGGTACAGCAGGGGGAGTTTATTGTTCAGCCTCACTGCAAGGTTATAGGCATTTACAGCCCCAAGGTAGTCTCCCATTGCAAACATTTTGCTAAATATTCAACAAAAAAGTGAAACATGCACTTTAAAGAAGGGGATAAATACAAAAAAAAACCCCCTACATATCATTAACTCATTTTCAAATATTTGAGGTTTTAGCATCTTCTCCTTTGAAATGCCCTTTATAGCCTTTTCTGAGAACAACATAGCTGAAGTTCAGTGCACCTGGCTGCTGACAATACAGCTTAGAGGTACACAACAAAAATAGTCACTGCTTGCAAGCAATGAAGGATTGTAAGGGTGGACACATTTATGTAGACACAGATCTAATTTTGAAAGCTTTGTATATCTGATTATGATTGCCTAATCAAAGCTTTCTCTATAACACAGCTATATAAATACACCAGTATTTATATAAAGTCCCTAGTTTATTTTACACAGATGTTTAAAATCTCTTTAAAAAAGTACAAATGAAATTAAATCCACTTAGGTATAATAGTGCACTGCCTCAACTTTCTTCAAAGAAAAATAAACATAATGTGTTAATAATTATTTTGTTCATCATGAGCTTCAACAATTGTATCTCAGTCTATCAGATTCTAACCCCTAAGCTGTCAATAAAATCTCTAGTACAACTACCATGACTACTCTAGACATTCACCAACTCTGTCTAGAATAAATAGAATATACCGAAACTGAACAGTAGACAAACACCATAAAACTAATTCATTTTTAATGCATATTCACGTGGAATGTAACTTACTTTCCTTTGTCCTTTAACCAATCAGGATTCTTCTCCTCTTCCTTTAAATCTTCCAGCTCAGATAAATCAGAATTTATTATTCTTCGAGCTTCTGCTTGTTTATGCAGCCACTGTAAATAAAAAATGTGCTAGTATTATTTCTCAAGCAAAAATTCAAATCCAAAAAAGGATTTTATTTTCATCTCTTCACTCATACCTATCAAAAGAATTCTATTGACCACATATTTCAGACACAGGAAAATATTTGATAGTGTCCAATATGAAAAACTTCAAAGTTTCCCCAAATATTTTATCACCATGAGAAGTGAGGTTACCACATCTCTAATACATTTTTTGTTTACTTGTCTGTTTTGATCTTTCAAAATTACTTTGTGTTCATTGAATCAAGCTCAAAAGAGCTGTGAGCTGGAAAAATCCTAAATATAAGAGCTAGAACACTTCAAATTTTCTACTTCAACTAATTAAATTAATATTGCTGCCTTTTCTCCCCTTCCCAAAAAAGGAACATGTTATTTATTAATCTGCACAACAGGGTGAAAAGAATTTTTTTATAAAATTGGCTTTTTTATCTCTTAATTTAAATAAGACTGCCTTCCTTAGAAGATGAGGATATTGCACAGGTAACATTCCTTGGCACAGACACTATTTTTGTATTGACTGAATACACAATAATTAATTCCCCACCTTACCTCCTCCTCCTCTGCAACACGAGATTCTCGCAGAGCTGTGGGAAAAACTCGTGGTGTAAAGTTGACTTTAATTGTAGCAGCAGCTCGGGGAGCTGGTAACTGTTCTTCCCTTAAATCCTGTGAAAATATACTACAGGAACCACGACCTATGAAAAGAGTTAGAGCACTGGAAATGAAAAATGAAGTAAGAGATTTTTCTGGTTTTCTACCAAAGTCCAAAGTACACCTGCCTTAGAAATGTGACACACTAGAATTAAATCTCTAATTGCTTGAGAAAACCTTAGACCTGATCTTCTGAAGGGAAGATTCAAACAATCCTTCTTCTTCCTAATGTAGCAAGTAAAGAAATGGAATTTTACAGCATCTGTCACAACTGAACTTAAACTCCTCTTACACCTCTCTCTCTGTTGCTTGTATGATGCTGGGACAGGGCAACAATAAGAGCTAAAACTAACCTATCAAATCAAGCAAACAGCAATTCAATGTCTTCTGCTGGTTTAGCTCCCTGAATTGGCTCTCCATGGATCCAAGGCACAGGACAGAGAGCACCAATGAGATTGAATATTCCATGAAATCCAGTAGTTGGGTAACTTTGGGCAACAGAAACCCCACCCCCAGGAAGTCTGCATTACACTGCCAAAAAGGCTCTCTGATTTACTTTTCTAAAGCTTAGAACAAAACCCACCCTTGTATTTCCAAAGACTTCAGCTAGAGCTAAGAACTCATGTGCTTTAGCTCAATAAATTGTCTGAAAACAACAATTTTAAAATAACCGTGAGCTAAAAGAACTGGTTCAGTATGGTGGAGACAAAGATAAGTGAAGAATTAGAAACATCTGGGAATAAAGTTATACCCACACTTTAAAGAATTACAAAGTACAGTTCAATTATACAACCTCTTGTGGATTTGAGTCTTGTCTTAGAACTTCCTTCATTAGGAATCCGAGTTTTGTTCAGTTTTTCATTTTTTCTCTCTTTTAATGGCTCTTTTTCTTGATGTAATTCCTCTTTTGCTTGTATGCTCTTGTATTTATCACCATCTTTTTGTTGGTTTTTCCATAACTCCAACTCTTTAGTGACCTCCTGCCGCTCCTTTTCTTTTAAATCTTCAATTCTTTTTCTTTCTGCTTCCTCTAGCTATTTGAACAAAAAGACCCCTAAGAGATACAGAACATCTGAAAATACTGACTTGACTAAGTTAAAGTTACCATTATTTTCCCAGTTCCATATCCCAAGCATAGAATAACCAATAATGTGACCATACTAGCAGAATTAATTAAGATGCTTGAAAATGCCTGTGAGAGTAAAGATTTCTGATCAGCTTTTAGAGGTCTCATCTTTAAACTATTTTACTAATAATCCTAAGGTACAATCTAGAAACATTCAGAAATAAGTTTTAAACAGTGAAAATCCTAGCCATGTTCCAATGTAGATCTCTGGAAAATACAGAAATGTAAAATATATGTGATGATATGAACACACAGTTTCTTATTTCTCCTCTTTGAGATTATTGCATATCTAGAAGAGGTACAGTATTGTTACTAAGTCACTAACTGTAGTTCTTTTTGGTCAATATTGCATATGCACTCTTAAAATTTCATTGCATGCTCCAAAACCAAAAATCCTTTGAACACCAGTGAAGAGACCAGACTTTTTATATACATAAACATTTTAAGAACATATCTTAAAATATACATAAAAAGTAGAATAACAAAGACACAAAACACAAAAAGCAAGTCTGATATAAAATACAACAAAGAGTAAGTGAGAATTTTTTAAATCAGTATTTTATCATAATGCTAAGGGACTAAACACCTGCAAAGGCCACAAAAGACTAGTTTTGCCACATGACTGTAGTCTCCTTTGAACAGACATAAATCTGAGCTTGTCACCAAAAGCTTTCATTAGTATTACTCACAGAAAGTGGCAACTTGTAAGCACTTTGTCAGTAACATTTTCATATTTGGTAATAAATAGGTTTAAATGCAGAGAAATAATAACAAAGTTCACCACCACTACAATAAAAATTGGAACTTTTCATATTCTTTAACATACATTTAACAAAGCATCTGCCAGATTAGTTGGTAGCTGTTCACATGAATGTCTTGCAGAGCTTCTTCTAAACCTACCTTCATTGTGGCCTCCAAAGCATATTTTTTGTTTTCCTGTTTTGTAATTTTTTTTGCTTTTGTCTCCTCTTTTGCCTTTTCTTGGGCTTCAAGAACAGCATTCTCTCTCAGATGTTGTAGTTTCTCCTTGTCAGCTTAAAAAAATAAACTATCTTAGTCATTGAGGCCTGATGTTCTATTGGTATATAACATGTTAATGAAAATTATTTCCTTTGCTACTTTGGCAAAATACAACACAATTACAATTCAACAAACCAGGGTCTACCAAGCCCATCTCTAAAAGAGAAAAATTAAGATTTACTTAAACACAAAATGTTTTAAACACAAAAACGTTGCACAAGAAATATTGTTTTATTTCACACACACCAGAACTAGTAGATATTCTTTGTTCTCACATACTTTCTATTTTTAATAATGAACAAGGCCGAACAGAGCAGATATCTACTAGCAGAAATTTCTCAGTATGGTTTCCTTACACAGAATCTAGTTTTCTGAGTAGAAAACTTACCATTTGCTAGAGTTAGGGAATCCCACATGGCCGGTTCTTTTTTATACAAAGTGAAGAAAATGTTTCCATTTCCAATCTTTGCTGTGCTGTTTTTGTCATCAATAGGCGCATATAAAATGGCTTCAAACAAAAAGGGAGGGATGCTTACCTACAAAAACATAATCTGTGCTAATATTTACTATTTTCAATTCACTCTCACATATTCAAAGCAGAGCACAAGCATACAGTAAACCTCAAGAGACAGATACTTTTGACAGAACTAATTTGCTTTGTATTCACTGTGGAGGTTTATAGAAGCCCAGAGAAGGTGCTTCCTTCCCATTAAGGGGGGGCCGTCACAAGGTAATTAATATTTAATTAATGAGATTGAAAAGTCTGCTCTTCAGCACTGCAACAGAAGCCGTAGATTTCAAATTTAGGATTATCCACAGTATAAGCAAGTGTATAAATTCAGCCCATGTATGAGAGTAAAGGCAGCGGCACCTGTTGAATGGGAAGAGCATTAGTAGGGAATGAGCAAGTGCTAAAGCCATGATCTGCCGCAGGACGGGCGTTTAACAGCCCGCAGCAGGCAGAGGGAGATGATAAAAGATAAAGGGTTCTGCCATAAAGAGATGATAAAAGATAAAGGGCTCTGCATTTGAAGGGTTGCCATGGTGCACGGCACGCTGAGCAGGGTTCCGGAGTCGCCCCGCGGCAGGAGGCCCGTGAGGCGAGCGGCTCCCACCTTCAGGTACTGCTCGCTGCAGAAGATGTTGGCGGCGGTGGCCCGGGCGCCGCGCAGGGGCAGCGAGAGGTACACGGCGGTGAGGCTCTGGCGCCAGCTGTGCTCCCGCAGCCACACCGGCATCGCCGCGGCCCGAGCAGCTCCGGGCCGCTCCCGCCCGGCCCCGCGGCGCACGCCGGGAGCTGTAGTCCCCAGGGCCTGAGGGCCGCGGGCGCCGCTCCGGCTGCCGGCGCTCGCAGCTCCGCAGGGCAGGCAGGAACCCAGCTCGTGTCATCCACGTACATTTCTAGAAAGAGACAAACTGCTGACAAAAACTATCAAACGTTAGGTTTTTATCAAAAAACCATCTGGTCCAGCCTCCCTGTTCAAGTAGGGTCACCCCAGAGCGCATAGCACAGGATTGTGTCCAGATAGGTCTGGAATATCTCCAGTGAGGAAGACTCCACAGGCTCTCTGGGCAGCCTGTACCCACAGAGAAGTTCTCCCTCAGCTCAGGCAGAACTTCCTGAGCATCAGTTTCTGCCTGTTGTCTCTTGTTGAATTGCTCAGCACCGCTGAGAAGAGCCTGGCTCCATGCCCTGGCACCTCCCTTCAGACATTTAGACATTGCTGAGGTCCCTGCCAGCCACCTCTCCTGGAGGCTATACGGGCCCAGCTCCCTCAGCCTGTTCTTGTAAGAGAGATTCTCCAGACCCTCGAAAGAACTCGGTAGCTCTGTGCTGGACCTGCTCCAGGATCTCCATGTCTGCAGTAGCGAGGAGCCAAGAACTGAAATACTCCAAGAGTGGCCTCCCCACGGCTCAGCAGAGGGCAGGATCACCTTCCCTGACCTACCCTGGCAATGCTGGCGCTGAAACCTCCACATGTCCCCTAAAAATAACTGGGTCACATAGCAGCCCCACGCTATTGCTGAGCAATATTGTCTGCTGCACTGTCTCTGCCAAAAACTCAGGAGGTAATTTACACATTACCACTCCATGTTTCTCAAACAAACTGTAACACTGTATTTGCCAAAATAAAGTCTAGTATATTGAAAGTAACTGCTTCTGGAGACAACAGCCTTAAAGATGAGCCAAACACAGCTGGATAAAAATTCAGGTATGTTTAAGTTCCTCAAAAGTACACAATTACCTAGAAATATTAGGAAAAATCCAGAAACAAAAAGTCTAGTTTTCCCTCTTTCTTTTAATATGAGATCAAGGGTAGTGGAGTTTAACATGGCTCACATTAGCTAGTATTTCTAATGTGTATCACTGAAGATTTAATTTTTATGTTAAGATTTAATTTTTATGTTCTCTTACATGTAATACACAGCAATATTCAAATAGTAGAGGTTACTTTTAAGTACTGTTTATATATAAAAGTAGGTATTGCAGAGATTTATAACTTTTTTAGAACAAGAAATCCATGGTAACTCATATGACTTCTGGGTTATTCTGCACCCTCACTCACCCACAACAATATCATCTGGAAGAATCCTTGCATGGACTGGAATATGATAATTGAATTATATTCCTCTTTCCAAGAACATTCAAAGTGGATAGCAGCATAGCAGCTAGAATGTGTTGAGGTTGCTGGGGTCCCCAGGATGAGCTGAGAGATGAGGTATCTGACTCCATGTTCTCAGAAGGATGATTTATTATTTTATGTACGTATATTATATTATATTAAAAGAATGCTATACTAAAACTATACTAAAGAAAGACAAAGGATACAGACAGAAGGCTTGAGAAATATGATCTGACACAGCTGATGGTGATTGGTCATTAAGTAAAAACAATTCACATGAAACCAATCAAACATGCACCTGTTGGTAAACAATCTCCAGCCACATTCCAAAGCAGTAAAACAGGGAGAAATAAATGAGATATTATTGTTTTTTCTCTGAGGCTTCTCATCTTCCCAGGAGAAGAAATCCTGGTGCAGGGATTTTTCAGAAAATGTGACAGTGACAAGAATAATTGTAATGTAGTAACTCAAAATCTCCTACCACTCCAGCTGCAGTCATCCAGCAAGTCAGAGGTTTTGAGTGCAGGTCTTCTGCCTTGGTCACCCAGGTGTCATTTTTAGTTTAATCACAGAGAATATACTGAAATGAAGCAGCTTATTATTTATTCCTGCTAGAAGAACTGTATTATGCATACATGCTTTACAAGACACAGTTATGGTTACCAGTATTTAGTCTTCTCAAATTACACAAAAAAGAGCTCCCATACATCAACGAAAATGTCTATTTACTTAAAACCTCAATCTGCAAAGCAAGGCTTGTAGGAGTGACAGTAAATATCACCAACATGTTTTTATGTCAAAGTAGCAGATTCAGCTGCTAAAGAACACAAAAGGGATTCAGCAAGGTCTTGGATCAACCTTAAAGGTTTTGAATTGATGTGTATGCGCAGAACCACCACCTCTGTCCCACCCAGCCCACAGCCTTACCTGGACAAGCTGCTGCGCTCTCACTGTGGCACACTTGAAAACTAAATAAGAGATGCTCAGGCAGTGGGGTTCTTCTGCTGGCACTAACTTTCAGTCAAAAGTCTGCAGTGAAAAGTTTGCAGTGAAAGAAGATAGATTTTTCCATTGAAAAGCTGATTCCTAAATTCCCATCTCCTGTGCCATGAAGGATGCAGATTTATGTTCCAGACAAACCTTAATATTATTAATATTCTGCACCTTCCATCTGCCTATACATATATATATCTTTTCTGGGGTTATTTCACTTCTAATGACTTCAGAAATTTTAATATAGGGGAAAAAATAATTTAGATAGTTTACATTTTCTTACCTTTAATTATTAACCTTTTTTTCTCACATCCTTTCTAAATTCTCTCTCATTTCTCTCATCTCTCCGTATTTTTAACAAAAAGCAGAAACATTTTATGACACTGTTTATTCCAACAAACTGTTTTGCATGTGTAGCTTGGGACCTATATCAGTTACTTTTAAAAATTATTGGTAAAACAGTGAGTTAGTGTGTGTTAATTCTGGCATTTTAACTAACAGGAAGAGCTTAGTAATAATTTTAAAAACTGGAATAAATAATTCTTTGCATAATCACTTTCCAAGTGCAGAAAGTTATTTAAAAAAAATCTATTTGGACAAATGGTGCTTGAGCCTTCCTTCCCATCCTGTGAAGAAATAGGGCTGAAGGCACAAGATCTTTTCCCATGTGCTTTAAGTCACTGCAGATGAACACCTTTACAGAGCAGAGCAGCTCTCCAAGAGAGGCAGGAGCTGTATTCTGTGATCCATATGACCTCATGCTGCTTCTTGCAAGGTTACACTTAATCCAAATGCCTTCTCACAGGCAGAATATGAGAAGCGTCCATCTAGGCATTACTTCATCTTCAGAAAGTCCATAGGCAACTTCCCCACAAAAATTATCTTTATTTTAAAAGAAATCGAAACTAGACAACAGAAAGCAACAAAGTTACATACAGTGCTGGACAAAGCCTACCATATACATTTTCCAAGAACACTTGAATCAGATTCTGATATATGTTCTTCTAAAAGGTAAAAATATCACATCATTATTAACAACAACAACAAAAAAAATTAAATGTCAACAATCTTAATCAGCTTGTATTTTGCATTGTTTAGATGGCAGTAGATTGGTAACTTGCCTTTTTCTACTCACTTTTAACTCTAAAAGGAGAAGGTGGACAAAAAATTCCAAGTCAGAAGGCCCTAAAGACCACAGTGCCTGCTCTAAAGGCCACAAACAGAAGCTTGGAGGAAAGACTAAGTTTTGAATAAAAATCCCTACAACTTTGTATAATTTCACATTTCAGAAAGAAAATAAACTATCAAGAAAGAAAAACAAAAAGAAAAAATAATACATTAAGAGCTTGCCCTCCTTAAGTTATAAGGAAGCTCAGATTTAGACCATTCTGTAGAGGAAAAGATGAGTGCCCAGGAAGAGACAACTCTCATAATTCCAATCCCAAAACGTCTCCAGTACAGCAATTCCTGAAACACAGTGCACAAATCTCCAAGGAAAAAGGTGGGGTTGGATCAAAAAATTATTTTGAACATGAAAAGTTTCTTTGAACATGAAAAGGAAAATTATGTATGGTAAACAATGCAGAAATAGTTATTCCCCATGGTGCTGGGATAAGCCATTTCTAAACCAAGAGACAAAGGGTGACACTGAAAGCTTTCTGCTAGAGGCAGCACCTCTGAGGGCCTGAACACCACTCAGAACTAATTACCCCAGAACTGATGGCACACAGCACTAGGCCACCAAAGGGACCTTTCTTTTCTTCTATATAAAGCAGAAGTTATCACTTCCACATAAAGTGAATGTGCATCACTCAAGATGTAGTGTAGGATAGTTATATTGCCATAAAGAGTTCTGCTAAGTACACTTAGTTTCCAATTTTAGGGAAGAGTCTATTCTAATATAGAAAGCTTCTGCCAAAACTTAGCAAGTGCAGAATAACTTTAAAATACATCCAGTTCTACATCCTCCTGCATATATCTAATTACATCCAATAGACAAAAAAATTGTATGCCTTCTAAACAAACAAAAAATTATATGTTTTGTGAAACAAGAAAAGAGTGTTAGAATAGAATTTTCACACACAAGAGCTGATTACCAAATGTTCACCCATTTATCAGTGGATAATATTAAGAAATTCATATTAAGTAATGGCAACAAGATGATAATGCATATCAGTGCTGTGTGTTCTGAAAGGTACTCAGTTTTAATTATTAACTGCTACCATCTATCATACCTCATTCTATGCAAGACACCTCACCAGCTACCAATCCATAAACAATAATGTTTCACATACTTCATAGAGTAGCTTAAAACACATCATGGTATGAAATCATTTGTATTACATAGTAATTTAATCCCTGGCCACAGGGTTAATGTTGGACAAAGTCTGGAAACTTTTCCAATTTGAATTACATACATGAACTTTGTCACACACCACAGCACTAATGCATGTATTACATCAGACATGCTCTAATTTAAAATCAAAACAAAAAAGTTGTTGCAAAAATACATGTCACCAATGTGGAACACATTCAAGATTGTATAAAAAGTACTGAACTGATATCCCAAAACAGGTATATTTAAGCAGTACATAAGGAAAGATTAGTTTTAATATGAAACAGTCATTTAAGTCACATACAACATGATAAGAAGCATGACTTCCTTTTCTTAAAAATGTTACACCAATACTTTTACTGACAGGCAATGCTTATTTATAAAATGAGAGGGATCTATTTAATGCAGATGTGTTACTGTATTAAGTTGGAATAAAGACAAATGTTAAAAAGGTGCTACATTTTAACACCACTGATTTTGTAAAAATCTCAAACCATATAAGCAGTTCACTTGCAAATATCACAGGCCCCAAACTGCAAACACTTTAAAACATTCTTGACTGTGTGCATGCAGTTTCACCTACTTCATTAATTGTCACATGCTTGAAATTAAGCCTGAAAAATGTGATTACAAAACTGGTTCTTAGATTAAAAACTTCAGAGGTCACAAAGTATAATCTTCTTTGAGCAGCCCCCAAAATTATAGTTTTCTTTTAAGTAGAGCAAACTTCATTACTTTTCTCTAGCTTCTTTCATGTGAAGATCTCAAATAAAAACTAGGCCTCTAAACAACCTTTGGAAGTAAGCATCAGTCCCATCTTCTTTCAGAAGAGACAAGCACAAACCTGCTAGTTTCAAGTTGTAGAAGGAATGAGTAAAACAGGAAGAAACAGGATTTTTGCTACCTGCCCTCTAGTCTGTATCCAGCACTGTCACTTACTTGTTCTCTCATTTAAAATTGGTCACTAGCAAAAAAGTATTAAGGACAGCACAATCCAATTTATACCTGTCACTTTCAGCCTGAGGGGAAAAAAAATTTGGGAGCAATATAAGGCTGCATTTCTGATCATGACCAGAAACCATGTAAAAGGACACAGGCATTTCCCACAAAATGTTAAGGTTTGCAAGATTTACAAAATCTTTGCAATATTTTTGGTGTGCAGCACCAGTACAATCTAAATCACCAGTAATGAAAGAAGCACATGAGAGTTCAATACAAATTGTTTCATGTATTACAAAAACCTCACCTATTCTAGCCAACCCTCCCTCCCTCCCTCCCATCATTCTAGAACTAACTTCTACTGCTAATCAGCTGACGTTTTCCTAGTACCTCACTAATTAAACATGATTGCTGTTTCTCCTGTGCATACTTGAGCTACTACTTAGTCAACACATGCAGAGAAAACCAAAATATAACTGCTCTCTAGATAAAGAGTTCAAGTATGCCTAGAACATATCAGTAGGGCAAGCATATTGGCTGGATGACTTCTGGAGATCCTTGTCAGTCCTATCTCTAAGATCACTGTCCTAACAAGTGTGGAGTTGGTTGTTCATTTGTTTTTATTTCATATCATTGACATTTGCTAATGCCTTGAACTTACAAGTTAATAAATGAGGAAAATTTACTGGATTACAAACCCAATATAATACCAGTTTAGAAAAAAATCTAAAATAAATTGTTAGAATAAGTTTCATAAATACACAATTCAAGGCCGTATAAAATGATATTCCAGATGATTTTTAAGTATTTAAGAACACTATGTTTAAATACTAATGTCCTGATAGCTAATCTAGAAAATAGTTTCCTAACTTCATGTTGGGTTGAGGAAAAGATTAAGAAATACATGGCTATTTTAAATGCAATGTCTGCTCCAAATGTCAAAACATGAATTAGATTTCTGAGAAGAAATGAGCCAAAATCTTCTCACAAGAGGCATGGGGTGTGGGAGTGGGAAAGGTAATAATATCATCACTGGAGCTTTGGTTGAATTTTCACTGAGCAAAATTCTGATTTCACTTACATTACTGTAGGTGTGAACCAGCTCCATTATGTTCACAGTGCTAATTGTTGCAGAGATTAAACTGATTCCTAGAGGAACAAATCTATCTAAACAAGGTTTGGTTTAATTGCTACTTCAGGTAGCAAAAGCAAATTCAAACAGTCTGTCAGTCATTAGGAGAACTACTGAAGAATAAATCTCTTTAACAGAGGTTGTTGCTTGTTTGGTTTTTTTCTTGTTGGTTTTAAAATCACACCTCTAACAAAACAAGATTAATTCTAGTTAATGTACTAAATTAAAGCAACTACTGATGAAAACAGCAGCTCTGGATCTATCTTTTACTTCACATCTCCATACTGGAAAATCTCAAGATATGAAATATGTCACACACTAGATATTATTTTCTTTTTCCTGATGAGAGGAACACAAAAAAAAAAAGACCAAAAACCAAAACAAAAACCCCACAACCCAACCAAAACAAACAAAACAAAACAGCCAAACAAACAAAACCACCCCAACAAAAACACAAACAAACAAACAAAAAAAACACAGCGGGGTTTTTTTTGCAGCGGGGTACTGCACTTATACAGCAAAACTTTTCACTTTTAAAATAAAACAGATTGCGTAGATCTGCACAGGATCTTCCAGGAATGTACACAGTAGAGCCCATTTAAAATCAAACACAATGGTGAACTATCAAACAGGCCTTACTTTCACTCATTAGCATTGCTTACCATGAAAACTACCTCTTTATTAGATGACTGAATTCTCTATAAACTCCTATATCACTCATCATCACAGACCTGAAAAATTTATCACATTAAGGAACATGACTAGTACCTGTAAGCTTGACACATGATTTAACTACTGTTTAAAGACTGTTTCCAGCACAGTGGTACATATTCCAAGCAGAATCTGTTATCACAGTGCCTCCTTTTATTAATTCCAAACAATATTTCTCTCAAAATAAACTTTTTCAGTTGCACGTGCAACTTCATCACACGGCTAAGGCTGAACTGTTCAAGGCTAGATGCTTCCCAGCATTCAAAAGAGAAGGGGAGTTATTTTTGAGATCAAGAATAAGATCAAATTACCCTTATTAAAATAGGATTTCTTAGCATCACACATGAAGCTCTAGTGCCATTCATACTTGTCAGTAGGATATCAGGTTTAGCAAAGGAGCTAAACTTCTGATTACTTAGTTCTGATGTGAGCTGAACTCACCTGATATGACAGCTGCATTTTCTTTCTTCACCTTAGATTTCCTACCCCCTCACTGCAAGACTGGCTGAGGCAGTGGTGGGAATTTAGATTTAAGACTTTGCTAGCCAAATTATCAAGCAATTCAGAGAGCACACTCCATTGCCTTGCCCCCTCCTTCATGCCAAGTGGGCTGTGTAAGCTCAGGGTGACTGAGCAGGCTGGAGCTGACAGCCCTAGGAGCTGGGCAGGATTTTCTGTGCACTACTTCATCCCCAATCCTCAGGCAGCACTGAGGCAGGAGACAGGGACCATCAGTGAGAAAGAATGACAGAGAGGTGCATGACTGCACAACCGTGACAGGGCAAAGACTGCATCCCAAGGTATGTCCTCAAGATACATGAATTAAGGTTACATGTGCAACCCTACTTCTGGCATTCTCTAGATTTAAAGCAGTGGACTTCATAAACTCAATGTGTTCTTCTTCCAATTTAATCTTATTTCACAACAATTTCCAAATAATGCAAGGCCTAGCAAGAGCCTTCAGCATATAATTGCTGAGAAGCCAAGAGATTATTGCCTTTTCAAGGAAACAGAAATGTGTAATAGTTAGCGGGTTTCATTGTGTTACTAAGCATGAATTCATGATTTTTGAATGGCACATTAATGCTTTACTTAAAAATAGGAAAAAGCACATACAAAATTCTCTGCATTTACCCTAAAATAACAACTATTAGTACTGCACATTCCTCCATGTCATCTCTACTATATTCAAAGAAAGGCTAGCAAGAACATCAATAACAGACATTCACGCCAAAAGAAAAAAAACAAAGTAATGAGTACTTGCAAATATAGTACCATTAAAACCAAGCACTAAATGCTAGTGTTAGTTAACACATTAATATACACTAGCAAATTAGGGCTATTCATACAGGCACATTTTTCCTTCAATAATGTTGTCAATGCTCATCCTACTTCCGATCAATTGTCAGTTACAGTTTAATCAGAAACAAAAAATATTCCATCCTGTAAAACATTAGCACACATAAAACTAAGAGTACAAAAGCTGAGATGGAAGTTTATGAATGAATACAGATTAGGGGGAAAAAAGATGACAGCAATCCAACACAACTGATTGTCTGCAGAAAGTGAAGTACCCAATTTGTAACCCAATTTTCATAGCAAGTATTTGCTCCACTGGCAGCCACGGAGGCCATCAGCCCTCTGTGTTCAGTGCAGGCGGCCCTGCAGTGTCTCTGGTGCGCATTAACTGCACATCCTTGTCAGCCATGCAAGTGTCACAGCCCCACACCGCCGATGCCTCCGCCGTGAGGAGCCCATAGGCCGACTCTGTCATGCCTGTACAGACCCGGTGGAACCATTTCTGACAAGAGGCCTCACACAGGATGGCATCCTGGTCATCGTTGACTTCATGTGTGCAAATCCCACACGGGTACACGGGCTCAGAGGACGAGTGTCCGTGACGACTGGGATGGAGGGGTGTCTTGCTGCTCTTTTCAGAGTTGCACCCTTCAGCAGTGCCTCGAGGCTGGCGGGACTTGCTCTGGGTCCCATTTGAGTGGCCAGCATTGGTGTTCTCAGCACTGTTAGAATGGCTGTTATCCTGATTTACCACATTGTTTCGAGTAACGCTTTTCAGGTCACTGTTACCTTGACTCACAACATCCTCTGTCCTGTGATGATGCTGATGAGCAGCAGTGTTCTGGCTGGGTGCTTTGCTTGCACCTTGAGTAAAGTCTTGCTTTTGTGCTGATGATTTTGTCTGGTTGTACGTGTTTGGCGGAGGAACAAAAGAATGGTTTGACTCTAGCTGAGAATTTGGAAAATTTGGATTGTTTCCAGGACCAAAGTTAGTTGGCACATCAGGGTGAGGTATCTGACCAGAATGGCCAAAGTTCTCCCCAGGATTTGGTCTGAAATGCTGAGCAGACATATTGACATTTTGATTCATCTGACCACTGCCATAAGGTGGTTGATTCCCAAAGCCTGGGTTATCATGAGGACCAAAGCTGAAAGAGTGGGGTCGACTAAAACCCATGCCAACAGGGTTTTGAGGAAGAGGATGTGGCTGGTTTCTGAGGGAGTAAGAACCACCATATGGTGAGGACACTCTAGGCAGCATGTGAGGTGGCATTCTGAAAGTGTTATAGCCTCCAAAGCCAGGATAACCAGGATTACTAAAATATGGATTTCCTGAAGGAAGTGGTTTATAAGACACAGTATTATAGTTGTCATCAAATGGATTTGCAGCTACAAGGTGGTCAGAGCTTGGGTTCGGTGGTGGAGCATATTCAGATGGAGGAGGAAATGACGACCCCTACAAATATTTTAAATACAACACTTGAATTAGTTTTAGTATTTCCCTGCAAGACAAACCAACCACAAAGGCTCTGGATTAGCAATACAACTGCTGAAAGAACTGTTCAGCTGTTGTGTAAAATTCACCCGCTGTACCCTGCCAGGCTGTCTGAAATTTCAGAGGCAGGAGAGGAGCTTGAGCTCCAGATAATGTGGTGATTTATAGTAGTTTCAGAGTTTTAAAAAGTTTGCAGTTGAAAGTACTACTTGATACATGACTTCTATTTCATAATCTTTTACAAAAGACAAGGAACAATACAGAAATCCAACTGTCACAAACATACACAAAGTATTTCCAAATGTTGAAGCGCAGATTTGAAGCATTTCCCTAACTTCATTTTTGGGTTCATGTTACTGAATATACATCTCATAAGACAGCCCACTTCCATTAAGATATACAAACCTAATGGTACTATAACCCTAAAAAAGGCATTTAGAATATAGGAGTCAGCAGGCTGGTATCTTCTATAGTCTGTGGAATATTCTGTGCTGTACATTTCTGTACCAAAGAGCATTCAGTGACTGTGGACAGTCTGCAAAACATAGTCAGTAGGTATGAAACACGAGGATTATGCTCTGGTTACAGAGCATAATCAAGTGTTTAATGGAGCCCAGAGTCTGTTTAAATGTCAGCAGTGCAGTCATACAATTGAAATTCATTCTAGACTAGCCTGTAGGGAACACCTGCTGGGTTCACCCTCACACTAACTGTGCTCACAGAAAGCACTTCCTCCTAAGTACTAATGAACTGAGACTGAAAATTTATTTTAACAAAATGCTGCATTGCAAATTTTAACCTGGTCAGAAGGAACACAAGCTAATCTGCATGTCCTCTAGAGTTATTACCATTACAGAACATAAGGAAACTCCACTAAAAAAGAGGCATGAAACCTTGTAAAGTAACAGAATATTTCTCAGAGCAAGTTTCAGCGTGACTACTTTAAAACAAAAGAAAAATGAAGAAAAGATCCACATCTCAATGGACTCTGCATAGGCCTAACAGAAAGGGATTGTTTTACCTACATAAATAAAGGTATTCCCACTGGGCAGTACCAAATTAACAGATACTCTCACTCAAAGCTGAATGAATACACAAAGGAAAATTCAGCACTATAGATACCCAATTGCTGAAGATATTTTGTATTGAGGCTTTCTTTTCTGGAAAGAACAACTGCATAGAAATGTCACATTGCAAGGATTCACTGGAAAGGAGCTATGCCTGACTTGGCTTTTGCTTGGAAATCACCTGGGGAGTATGCCAAGAGCTTGGTCAAAGCATTAACAAACTGTACTGATTCATTAGCCCACAAACCTACACATACAGAAATGAAAGTAAGGTAAGAAGTAGTCTCATGGCAACTACTCATGCTGTACCATGATTTCTACCAATGGCTACAAAGTCATTAAAAAAAGTCTGCCTCAGAATCAGATCCCTATGGGAAAAATCCAAGTTATTGCAGTCTCACTGTGCTCCTCTCTTTATATGTTTTTGGCAACTTACTGGGATTAAAATAACTTCAGCAAAAATACTAGTATTCAGGAAGATTTCAGCTTCAAAGTAAAACTGAAATACTTGCTATGTAGCTGCTATTTGTGACAACAAATTGATATTCTGAACAACGAGAGCTACTCATACCAGCAAACAACATTCGAGTGCACTGTTTATTAAGAATTCAAAAGAAGCAAAGGGAATTTACCTGTGTATTCGCTTTGCGCTTTTTCTTATCAGGGCTCCCAAGCTGAACTCCTGGTCCTCCTAACCCATCCAATCCACTGTCACCACCTACAAGATATCAATCAGGGCAGTACTACATTAATTTAATTGTAAGTTTCTCTTTAACTACCATAGCCTCAGATATCTGGTACAAATAGTGAATTTGCATTGACTCTGGTACCTTGTGCTGCAAGTGCTAAAGGAGCACACATCTGGAGGTGAGGTAACATCCCTCCTACTCCTGTCTGCTACCACTTTCATGTCCCATTCATGCTCATTCTTATTGAAATAGACATTTCCATTTATTTTATTTTTATCTGTCCCTTGATTCTTAATATCTCCACATCACTAGTTAGAAGTATTTCTTGTTTGCCTAAACCATAAAACTCTCAAAAGAACTGCAAAAAGCCATGTCTAAGACTCACTTCTTAACTCACATAGACACTGCATCAGTGTAGCAAATATATAACAGATTGTTACAATCCACCATGAAGGAAAAGAAAAGCAAACAGTAGTAGGTCCATGAACAAAAACCACTGAAAACTTGCCATGTTGTTTAGACTAATCTCCAGTTCATCAAATCTAAATGTCACTAAATGCAAGACTTGATCAAACAAAAAGACACCTGCCAATAATCAGTGAACAGCCCACCTCTGCAGAAACCTTATAAAATAACTGAGCAAGTCTATCCTGGCACAAAAAAAAAAAAGAGAAAGGAATGTTCATTTCACTGGTTGCTCAATCAGATTTCACCCTGAGCAATACAAAGAGATATCTGTACTTCCCCTGGGATTCTCCACCTTTCACAACAGTGGGACAAGCTCTCAAATTTGTATAAATCGTGGCTTCCCTTTTAAAACCCTAGTTAGACCATAAGTGAGAAATAAATCTGGCAATCTCATTATTATCCCAGTCTGTCTTCACAGGCTCAAGTGAAATTGCCATAATATGGGAACACAAAGAAACCCCTGAGCTGAAATATGAGAAGTATTTTCAGGTGATACCAGAGCAACACATGTTAAAGTACTAACATCATTATACTAAGAAACTATATTAATTCTTTTTTTTCCCAGGCCCATTAGGATAATAGCTTATTTGCTCTTTTATATTAATATATAGTAACAGCACAGAACAGTAAGCAGGCAATCCAACCTAAAAATTTTACTGTTGTTTGTTTAAAATTGATATTCAGAATATGAGACAAACTTTATCAAGATGCAAGCATCCAGCTGAACACACAGGTCCTCATTACCAAAGACAACCTGGAGATAACTGTGAATTATCAAGAGTATTATGCAAAGCAGCACCATGTATGACATTACACTGCTCTGTTAGACAAGTGTTCCCAGCAGACAGGTAAACCAGCTTTAGGAATATTCAGCAACATAACACAACATCTCTTCTCACAGGGAAGCAGCAGTCCTATTGTACACAGACCAAAATATCCAAGTTATTTGAAATACTCCTGATCAAGGAGACCTGACAAATTTTCACTCCCAGCACTTCCTCCAGGCCTCCTTTTCTTTTTTCTTTTTTTTTTTTTTTTTGAGGTTTCAGGGAATTTATCAGTCCTACTTCAAGTAAGAATCCAATTCTGCCTCAGCTTTAATAAGTTCCTTTTGGATCTAGCTGTCACTGTTAAAATTTGATTTTATTTTTCATTACACATAAGGAAGATGCATGGACATCCCAGATCAACACCTATCAAATTTTAAGTCTGAATTTCAAAGACAAGGGCATGATGTCACAATCAAGGTCTCAAAATAAATTCAAGTTTGCACATAGCATACATATTGTGGTCTAAGGTACAATCAGAGAAACTAGGGATTTACTCTTTAAAAAGAGACCTTTTTGCCTTCATTTAGAAGATAAAATCCTGCACATACTAAGTGTGCTATGAAGCATTGCCACTACATTACCTGTAGATACTAAATGACTACAGCATAAGGCTTTACATAAAGAATGATGGCAAATTTTCCCTAAATTTCAACTCTATAAATCATCTTTATAATCTATTTTCTCAAAACTGTTCCTGTACTTTCTATCAGCTTCTTCTCCAGCATTCCTATAAGTTTATACTAAATTTAGTGTAACATTGCACTCTGAACACTAATCCTCACAACTGCATAAATTACACTCCATTTCATGTCCCTGTACTCTTAAAAAATAATTGACATTAACTACTGATAGCAAAAAATTCCAAATATCCAGATTTCTTTTAATAAATTCAACAATAGTAGCACAGACATCAGTAAATTTGTGATCAAGTAGAATACTTAGGGTCATACACAAGTGCTGGTTTACAGTAGCTGAAGTTAAGACTTTACAAAACTACATATAAATTCCCTCTCTGGGACATCATTCTTCAAAAGCATCAGCATATGAACATGAGAATTCCAGTGACAAGTTCCATCAATTTCTACCTGAATTACTCTCATCAGCAAAGCCATTCACATGCCTTGGTTTACAGAAGGGAGTCCTGTGTCTGGAAAGGCACAAAGCTTTTGTATTGTCACTCCTCACTGTGTGAGGCCAATGATTTAATTCAGCCCTAAGAATTTATATTTTCCCTGTGGGTTCTATAATGATTTAATTTATACATGAAGGAAACAGAATGTTAGTCCTAGCATACCTCCAAAAAAAGAGTGAATAAGGCTCATTTTCATGAAGCCAAAATAAACTTTCCACAAAGTCACTTTTGGTACCTACCACACAGACTTTCATTAAAGGAGTACCAAGCATTTTGGAATGCTGAAATAATGAAAAATTATTCATTGTCCAAGACTAATTTTTTGGGCAAAAATACTGTCCTTTTGACTGGGACATCACCTATCTCATGGATCTAAAGATACAAATACATATCTGATAACTATTCCCCTATTAAACTACAGATAAAATTAATTTCAGCCATTCACACTTGGGCAAAGGAGAAGAGATAAGCCTCATATTCTCTTTTACTTCATACATACCCAAGATAGGCATTTTCAGTGTTAGTTAGGAGAACTGCAAGTTTTAGTTTGGTTTACACATTATGGGATTTTTACTTTGCATGTAATTTATGCCATACTTAACATACTGCAAATACAGTATGGAATATTTTCATATCCACTGACAAATCTCAGTCTAGGTTTTTACTGCTTTATCTCAGTAAGAACATTTTCCCAAGAAACATAAATGGCTAAATAAACTTTTCATTAGAGGCAGAAAACTAAAACTAGTCTAATTTCAACCAAATTTGGTGAGCCTGTTCTGTGGCCCTGAGACTGTAAACAGTTTTGATAATAAGCTGTAATCAGGTGGAACTCGGTGGGTAACTCCAGCATGTGAAACCATATATGCTTAAATATTTGCAGAATCAGGGCTTGAGAGTGGAGGAGTCTAATGAATCCCAGTCTCCTTTGTAACACTGCTGTGTGTCTTCATTCTCTCATTTTCAAGCTTGCAATCCAGCTGTTACTATAGCAGTTTTAGAAAAGCAAACTGTAAATCAATGACAATATGCACCGTGGAATCCACACCTTTTCCCACTTATCCAACCAGAAAAAAAGCTTAAAACAGCAAGAACAATAGAATTCCAGGGGTAAAAGGGGAGGCAAGAAAACAAGAAGCACTAAATTGCGAATTCTATAATTTTGCCATGATTTTCACCCAACTCAGTCACCCATCCTGCTGTCTTTTATTATTTCATTCAGAGAGGCATTTCTGTGTCTAAGGACTAAAAGGACACAACAATCACTACACAGGCTGATGTGCCACTGCCATTAAAGTCAGCTGCACTGCCGAAGTCGGAGGAGACCCTGCATTTCTGCCCTTCTCCCTGCTCCTTTGAAAGAAACGCATACCTCAAACCTCACCAGAGCCATACACCAGTGCTATAAGTAAAGAATAATATTTCGATTTTTTTCTTTTTTCATTTCCCGAAAAGGGAAAGACAAAACCCCCACTAGAGTCAAGCACAGGAGCCAGGACCGGGGGCAGAAGAGCGAACACTCAAGTGTAATTTATGGGCTCTGCATCAGCACGAACTCGGACATGTGGCACTGCCGCCGTATTCCCTTGCACCAGCAGTATGCTCGCTGCATACTAATGCGCTGCTCATCCCCAGACACACAGAGACAGGACCGCACGCCGCCCTCCCCCGCGGGGCACACCTGCGCGCACGGCGAGCCCCGGGGCTGCTTTTCAGGGCCCGCAGGCTGCGGGAGCCCGCGGGGCCCGGCCGGGCCCCACCGACCAAACTTCGAGCGGCCCCCGCACCGCCGGCCCCGCGGCAGCCGCAGGGAGGGACCGCGGCGGGGGCGGCCCGGCCCGCGCTGCGCGGCGCGGGGAGCCCGGCGGGCAGCGGCGGCGCGGGCGGTGCGCGCATCCCGCGGCTCCGTCACCGCTCCGCAAGGGAGCCAGGCCCCAGCGGCGGCCGCCCCCGGGCCCGGCCCAGCCCTCGCCGTACCTCGGGATCTCTTCAGCGCGATGGGGTCCTTCTCCTGTTCCGCTGACATTACAGACAGCAGCGCATGGCTCCCAGGGCGGCAAGAATCGGGGCTCTTTGATGCTGCTGCCGCCGCCGCCGCCGGCCCGCACCCCGCCCCCTCCGCCCCCGCCTCCTCCGCCGCCGCCCCCGCCCGCCGCTGCCCTCGCCGCCGCCGCCCCAGCAGCGGAGCTACGAGACTTTGCAAAGTTTGGGCGCGGGAGGGCTCCGCTACAGCCCGCGGCGGGGGCCAGGCCAGGCGGGGTCCGGCGAGCGGAGCGCCGCTGCCCGGAGGCCGCCCGGGGGTCCGCGGAGCGCCGAGACGCGCCGGCCAGGGCCCCCGCAGGCTGCAGGCGCCCGCCTCGCCCGGCCCCCGCCGCCGGGGCTGCCGGGCCCCGCGCAGCGCCCCCGCCGGACACGGCGCCGCTCAGCGCGCCGAGCCCCCGCTGCCCGCCGGCTCCCGGGCGCGCAGGGGCGGCAGCGCCCGCGGGGCGCTCCGCGGGGCTCCCCCTGCTCCCGCCATGAGCGCGGCGGGACTCCCGGCCCCGGCCGCGCCGCCGCTCGGAACAAAGGCGCCGCGCTGGGGCGGCTCCGCCGGCGCCTCCACCCTCCGCTCGGCCACCGCCGGGACTCGGTCGGGCCGCGGGACAGCCGCGGGGCGGGCAGGGCCGGCAGTGCCCGTGAGCGCGGGGGCCGCGGCAGGAGCGGGCAGGGGCCGCCTCGGCCGCCGTGCAGAGGGAGTCGCTGGCCGGGACCGAGTCCGGGGCCGTCAGGGGTTCCACGGCGCGGCTCCGGTGCGGCACGTGCCTCACGCCTGCTTCCCGCCCCCGGGCTGCGGCTCCCGTTCTCCTGCCCACGCTGGGGGGAAGGCTGAAGGGCTGGAGCACCGCGCTCCGGCGGCTCCCGGGCAGGCAGGGGGACCTTATACCCGGAGGGGCTCCCCACACCGGGTGCCACCCGCCGGCCGGGTCTCTGGCCTGGGGGTACCGCACAAACCACTGGGCCCAGCCCGTGCCCTCACGCGTCGGTAAACCCTGCCGAACCCTTAAAAACACACGGGACAGAAAAATCGCTGCCGGTGTTGGTGTAATCTTGTGCAAACACATTCTACCTCAGTTTCCCATCTTCTGAAGTGGCTGAGTTTTAGAGGTATTCAGCGTGCAGTTCTTGGTCTAGATCAAAATTGTTAATCAACTGCATTAAAAGTACCATTTGAATAAAGATTTATTCTCCCTATAAGGATAAAAAATGCCCAGCTCTACGGTACTGGGTTTGCTCACGTGCCTGACTTCTAAATACTTGTCAGTGCTACTACTTTATGTACCTTCTTGTTAGATGGGTAGTTGATACTTTTGGTATGGCTATTACTTAGTTATGCAAAATGCAGAAGTAAAGTGGAGAAAGTAGTTCAGTTTATGTTGATTTCTGTCCTTCCCTAGACATCACTTTTATTTGTCCACAGTCTCTTACTTTGCAGCGATCCCAGATGTACGTACCTCAAAGTACAGCACACCGCCAGTATTCTCATGGGATGTGCTGCTTGATTCTGTGTAATCTTACTGAAGAGAATATTAGCAAGGTGGGTGTGAGCTTGTCTATATTTGGAGGAAGATGTGCCTTATCTGTGAAGAGATTTGCATTTTGTGTGACAGAGCTTGCTGCAGGCCCAGCTGATTCTCCCCGGGCTGCAGGAGCTTTGTGCACGGCTGCCGTGTAATGGCATGTAGACTGTAATTATGGATGCGCAGATTGATGTCACCGAGGCTGTGAAGATTCCTACGGGGACATTGTCTGCATCAGAAATGGGAGCTGGGAATTCAGATTTAACCCAGTGCTCTACTTGCAAAAAATTATGTCTGTTTTGCTGTTCATCCAAGTTCAGCTTTTAACTGGCTCCAGTCTGTTGTGAGCAATCTGTGTGAATCCCGTTGGACTCACTTCTAAACTCTTGTTGGAAATAGCTGATGTGGTATCTGAAAGGAACTAATTCACTGGCTCAGGTGCCTGCTACACCAGCATCCCAAATATTTCCCAAAAATCTACAGTTCTCATTATGACACACAATTCACCACCTTATAAGCCTCACTGGTCATTGGTTGTCCTTAAAATTACCCCAACATTTCTTCCTTTCAAAAGCTGGCATTAATTAAGAAGACTTAGGGGCAGCTAGTTAGCAACCTTCCAACACCTAAGGGGAAGTTACCAAGAAAAGAGAGACAAAGCTCTTCACAGAAGAGTGTGGCAGAAAAATTAGACCCATAATTTGAAATGAGCTTCCAGTGGGGCAAACCCCAGAATTACCTGGTCCAAGTTTAGCATTAGACTTGCTTTATGCAAGATGCTGGACTCAAAGGCAAGACCTCCAAAGTCCTTTGGAACTGTAAAGTTCTGAATTAATTTCTGAAATAATTTTCTGAAATAATTTTCTTCTGGAAAAAAAGGGATATGTTTAAGGAAATTTGGATTTCAATAGTCTTAGCTTGTAACAGTATTCCAGCATCAGTAGATTCTATCCCCCCACTTGCTATGAGGGAAAAAATACAATAATTCATTTTTCTAAAAGGCCTCTTTTCATGTTAAACAAATATAAGTGCTAATTCTACAACCTTTACATGTTTCACAGCACCAGTGTGATAAACAGGACTGTTTATCAAGGCTGGAGGGAGTTTCTGTCAGGCCTGAGACAATACCAAAAATCTGGGTTTGCTGTTTTGCTGGAGTCACACCCCTGCTCCAGACTCATTTGTTCTCCTCCTCCACACCTCCCTTTGTTGGTAGTAGAACTGAACACGTGCATGTTTATAAGTTACACTGAGATGTGCTTTTTATGCTTTTCTAGCCTGGCTGGCAATGCAGCTGATACTACTCTGGGAAAATGTGTTAAGCAGGACCCTTGTGGCTCTGTGAGAAGCAGAGCATCTCTGCCGACCTGACTGGGCTGGAACTGAAACACTTGGAGCTTGAGTCACTGAAGCCATTTCAGTGCAAACTGCTCTGCCTGCTGGTGAATGCTGCATCTGTTCTGGTGATGCAAACCAGGCCTCACCAGCACACGTCTGTTTTGTTTCTGCTTTTAATCAGCAAAAATTAGGACTGTCTAAACTTCTGCACTAGCCACTTCGTCACATAATATAAAGTACAAAATACAAAACAGAATCTAATTAATTGTTTATTCATGTTTTAACTTCAGTCTGAAATGAATACAAAACTGTTTGTAGGAAACAAGCGCAAAATATATTGGCTTATGAATTGATCCATGAAAGAATGTAAGTTTTTATCTGTAGCCCATTACATTAGTTTTCTTCCATATGACACAAGTCTGAGAATGATCATGCCTTTGTCTAGTCACATTGCAAATCACTGGCTGATGAAACATATTTTTCTAAGCTTTGCAAGACAAGTTATTAGTGAACTGATCAAAAAATGTCTCAGCTGTACAAAGGCCACTCTAGTGTCATATCTATACTCAAACAAAATTTTTAAAGTTCAAAGCAAGCTCTTAGTTATGAAACCTAGTGAGACTAATTGATTTTTTGGGGTGCGTATTTATTTTTTCAGCTTACATCTGAAACATGTATATGCTGAAGTATCTCAGAAAAAGTAGCTTTCATGCACTCAGATACTCTTGCCAACACAAGACTTATAAAGCTAAAACCTACAATTTTCCATTACTTTGAAACTATAAAGTTTTATATCCAATATATCAAAATTAATTAGTACCTAAATAATTAAAATATAAAGATGATATTGATTATGTAGGAACTTAAGTTTCATTATTGTATTTACAGCTATATATACACCAAAGAACAAAAGTTTTGACAAGTGTGTGTGTATATGCATTAAAAAACCTGATTTGATCTTCAAGTCACCAAGACAGATAAAACCTCTCTGATAAGTAAAAGGAAACTTTCAGTTTGCCATGTTAACTGCAATACAATACCTTTTGGAAAGGGACAAATACATGCTTGAGTAACCTTTGTAGGCTTCTCTGAAAAATGGACTTCTGCCTACTCAGAGGTGGTCGCCTCTTGAGCAATGAACAGTGAAATGGGGACACTCTGTGGGAAAAGGAAAGAAATGCAATCTCTCACTCTTTCTGGATCATCATCTTGAATCTTTTGCATTTTCCTGTTCATTGTGGTCTGATGAAAAGAAGGGAAGCATTTAATTCCTGCACTTCACTGCTTACAAAATGGAAAATGAAAAAAAAAAAAAAGAAAAACCACAAACATTGTTGGCAAATGTAGCAAAAAAACTCCACAATGAAATCTCTTCTGCCATCCTAGGAGAGGAGATAACAAATCTATCTTCATTCTCTCTTTTGTTTATTGTGCCACTAAAGTAGGGAAGAACACAAGAACAGATAACTAAATATGCCTAAGTACACCGTGACCTAGTTACATAGATGCTGCACTCACCCATTGCATCTGAGAGGAGCCTCCCTAATCCCCAGGCTAAAATTCACATGAAATCCAGGATTTCAAGAAAAGAATCTAGAATTATTTAAAAGATATGCACTATCTGTCTGCAAACACCAAACTGGATTAAATTACTTGGCATGTATTATGTTTAGTGGGGACAATTCCAAATCAGAAATGTAGAGGCAGAGGTTTTAGGATGCTATACAGCTGTTCCTCTGGGGATCCTGTCATTTTCTTATCTGCAACTGCAGGGCTGGGCTCCACGTTTTGGCCCAGTTGAGCTACAGAAAAGAAACACCATCATAAACTCTTAAAACCTTGTGGAATGCTAAACCAAGTTGCAGAGTGCTCCCATTAAGAGGCTGTTTCCAGCCATCCCCACTTGGGCTGAGACCTCTGAAGCCCAGGCTGTGGCACAGCCAGCACTGCTGGGTGCCAGGGTCCCACCCCTGGCCTGTGCCAGCAGCCCAGCATGGAGGTGGCCTCTGGGCCTTTCCCAGCTCAGGTGAACTCCAGGGATTGTCAGCTGTGCCACCATGGCTTCTGACACACTGACCTCCCCCACTGATTTTACCCTACCCTGCCCACACCACAGAGATGGAGAGGGACCTTATAAAAAATGAGAGTGCTTTCCTCTTTAATATAGCCATTTTTCTGTAAAGTGTTTTAAAAGCCAGCATTCTTCCTATTATG